AGGGATGAGATAGTCCTACCTGTTCAGCTTAGCACTCCATTCTTTTGTATTGGACTATGGTAGTATTTATGACCCCTGACAATCTCAGTATTGGTATATAAAGAAAAATAGCTGATCACAACTATGTTACTTTAGTTAAAATAGTACAATCAGTAGTAACAATAGCATCAAGAACAATCTAGAAAAGGACAAACTGTCATAACTGTTAATTGTCCACCTTTAACCAAAGATAGAACACTTATCTACCTGTGGTTAAAAAAATATAACATCAGAAAATTATACACAGTAAATATCCACTCAGTAAAGTGATGATATCCTCCAGGGAGAAAATTTAAAAGGGATAAGAGGCAAAAGTAGAGAAACAAAAGATTAAAGCAAAGCTGAAGGACAGAGGAAGATTACTTATGCTTTGGGAAACTGGTGAAGAAGACAGGAGGAAAAGAAAGAGGGAAAAACAACAACAAAGCTGAACAAAAATACTAAAGCCAGTATTCATACTTATGAAAAAACAAAAACAAATAGGTAATCAAGGGGGAAAAAACAAAAAGCAAAGAAAAAGAGTTTTCTCCACAATTTCAGGTCTGTGGCTATTGTCTGTGATCTACAGTCTCATAGTAGTGTCCATTGCAGGCTATATCTCTGGTGTCCATGGTAGACAAGGTAAACAGAGCCACAATCTATGCTGGATGACCCCAGAAATCTTGCAGTGGCATTGGGGTGGGCTGCTGATTCTGGTGCTTTCAACTTTGCAGAAGGTCAGGCTGATCCTGGCCTCTGGTTGGAGGGGTGGTTAAGGCCTGAGCTGTTTGGCCTGCAATCCTCTGAGTGTCTATTGCTGGTCTGCTCATGGTCCCCTAACCCTGTACATCTCCTGCAGTTGTTCCTCACTCAGTCACTGTGCGATTCCAACACTAGCAATCCTGAGATGGAGCCAATCCATGGTGGCTCCAAGTCTTAGATTCAGTTATCTTCTCCCTAAAGTGGTGTCTCCAAGGCCTTGGACTGAGGCCACTTGGACTGGAGCCACTCACAAGCTGTTGTAATGTACACCAGTGCATGTCTATTCCACTGGGTTGTTTCCACATGGAGGACTCTGGAGTCATGTGCCCTTAGTGTGTCTCTTTAGATCTGATACTCCTGTCTCTCTCCATGAGCCAGGGAGAAAGTGAAGTCTGCACCCTCCTTTTTCTGCACTATGTTCTGTCTCTTCATTGTTTCTGTGGGCTCCAATTTTCCCTTCAGATCCTTCCTGGGTGCACCTCCCTTCTTCTTTTCTTCCCCAAGCTGTTATTTTCCAGTGTCTGTGTTCTGAATCTTGGAGAGGTGGATTTGCTACTATTTACTGCTGTGCTATCCCAGAAATTTAGTAGTATTTTTTTAATATGCAGAATGGTATAGGTCAAAGGGCATCACACATAATAGAGGTAAGTTCTGTTCTTTAAATTTTTTATTTTTTTATTTATTTGGTACAATGTCTCACTACGCAGCTTGGACTTGAAGTGATCCTCTGGTCTCAGCCTCCCCAGCACTGGGATTGCTGGTATGCACCACCTTGCCCAGTGTGAGGGCCAGCACAGTGCACCTGGAGTTACAGGGCCAGCATAGCATGTGGTACCAAGGATTGAACCTGGGTCCTTGTCCTTTCCAGGCAGGTGCTTAGACTGCCAAGCTATCTCCCCAGCCTGGAGGTAAGTATTGTCCTATGAAGCTTTACTTTCATCTATGCATGCATTCTGATTTACAATACAAAACTTATTTCTTTTTGTGTGTTGCAACCTCAAAAGTTTCAAAGCCACCAGATGTTTGATTAAGTGCAGGAGGAGCCAAGAGGGAGAAAAAACAAGTGATGACCCGAAACAAACTTATTAGTTGAATATGCACAAGCTTTTGGAGAAAGTTGATGGTAAAGTGGGTAGAAGATTTATCAGAAGTTTTTCTTCTGCCTCCAGAGAGCAAGAGGGTGTCCATGTGAGGAAGGAAAAGCTCATGAATGAAGCCTTACTCTCAAGGAGATCAGAGGAGGTGGCAGGTATAGAAGTGTTAGGAGAGGGGGCAAGGATGAAGAGTGATTGGGCTGGTAAACCACAAGAGCAGATATAGCCTCATACAGTGTGTGGCACAGAACAGAGGTCAGCGTGGGGTAGGACCAGCTTATTTAATAACCTATCATTGCTGTTGCAAGGTCATCGAAAGATCTGATTCTTGCCAGTCTGAAGAACTGGGAAACTAAACCAAACGCTGGGCTTGCTTCCCCAACACCAACCAAACACACACACAAAACCGAACTTCTCATGGAGATTGGCATGGTGGAGACTGCAGGCTTTACTGTCAGTCCACCCTTGTGCAGGGTTGGGCATATAGTCTTCTCCTTTTTTTTTAAACCAGTAGGGCTGGAAAGGCCTTCCACATAAGGTAATTGGATGTACGTAGACCCATTCCCAGGCTCAGAGCCTGGCACATCAGTCATGAATGCTCTGAAACTCACAGCTCCTTCTATCCTCAGAGACCATACTAGAGGTAGAGCCGTAGAGGAGAGTTGGGCCACAGTGATTTCCAGCCCTTGAGTCCTTGGGTCCTCCTGTTACCCACTGAACCATTAGGTATTTGGCAGACCTTGGGGCAGAGAGACAAGCACAGGACACTGAAGTATGTGAAACCTTTGTTTTGTCACTGAGAAAGTCCTCCTCAGCAGCCCAGCAGCTCTGACCTTTGCCCTATTCCAGGAATTGGCTCCTGGCCCAGTGGCTGGCTTTGGACCCTGATGCATGAAAGTTGAGTCTCATCCCTGCTTAGGTTCTTGGCCAGGAATCTGGCCTCCTACCATGCCCCAGATATGCCTGATCCAGGGTGTAGATCTGCTGGAATTTGTGCAAAGTCTTCAGCTCTCAACACAGAAGGTCTTGTCTCTCCCTAGATAGTGCTATTGGTCTTTACAGAGCAGAGTCAGCCATCTACTCGCACTGCTCCCACCCACCTTAGGCCAGGTGCCCTTCCTCTGAGCTCACATAGGCCCCTGCACTTCTCCTAGTTGGCAGCACTTTGCTAGGAGGTTGTTCTCTGGCCCAATGTAGGCACTGCTTTGGCAGTGTTTACTGAGAGAGCAAACTCTCAAACCTAGGCCTTATGTTCTCTTTCGTTCCCTGGACTCTGAAGCCTGTTTGCCAGCAACTGAGCCAAAGTACTCCTTTAGAAGAGCAGAAGAGACATCCTGCTGGAGACTCCCAGGTACCTGTGTATGACCACTAGCTGTGTAAGTTCCATTTTTGAGAAGGCATTAACGATTTGAGATTTGTATATGGCAGCAGTATCCATATACCTTTCAACTTGTGTGTGTGTGTGTGTGTGTGTGTGTGTGTTACACACTACACAGCTCAGATTCAGTGATCCTCCTGTAATCCCAGCACAGGGATTACAGGTGTACTCCAACATGCATGGACTTGGTGGCCAGCTCATTCTTCCTGGGGGGGGGGGTGCAGGTGGCACAGCATGTGGTGTCAGGGATCAAACCCTGGTCCCTGTGCTTGCCTAGGCAGGTGCTTAGTCCACTGAGCTATCTCACTGGCCCTTACCTTTTGACTGTTCATTAGGTGTTATCTCAGCTCTGCTGAGGGCACCAGGCTCTGGCACCAGTCAGGGCCTAGGAGGGTTCATCTCTTGATGGAAAAAAACCAGTGAGGGGTTGACAAGCAGACAAACGATGTCTTCTATGCACCTTCCTCGTGGCCTGCTGTAAAGGGGAAGGGGGGCAGTAGTCAGCGCGTTCCAGGGAAACACTTGGCCAGTGAACTTACTCTCCAGAGCTCCTTTCCCAGTTGCCTTACTGCTGAGGTGGGGTGCTTCCAATCTGGTCTTCTGAAGTCTACTTGTCCTTGAGAGGAGCAGATGAGAGGGAGATATGGGAGGGGCACAGCCTCTCAATGAATGGCTGCATTTGTGACTGGAATGCCAGTGGCAGCCTCACCCCCATCTGCAGGACTCAGAGTAGTAAGGTCCCCTCCTGTCTGGCACGGAGAGAAAAGCTCTCAAAATAGGAAGAGGATGGTTTCCCTAGATTTATAACTGGTTCCAAGCCATCAAGATGCACACACGCACACGCGCGCGCGCACACACACACACCCTCAGGAATGACATTGATAATCACATCCTCAGGATGCCACTTCACCCTCACAAGGATGATGCTAATCAAAGAAAAAGACACACAATAAGAACTTTTGGGGAGAATGTGGAGACTGTGGATCCTTTAAACACTGTCAGTGGTATGTAGAAGGGTACAGCTGCTTTAAAAACAAATTGTTGTTTTCCCAAAAATAATTACCCAGATAACCCAGCAATTCCACCCTGAGGCACATACACAAGAGAAATGAAAATTATGTTCACAGAGAGATGGGTATGGGAATGCTCACAGCAATTTTTTTCATCATAGTTTAAGATGGAAATCTAAATATTCATCAGCTGGTCAATGTATAATCAAAATGCTGTATGTACCTATAATAGAATATTATTCAGTCATGAAAAGGACCAACCACTACTACATGCAAGAACACATATGGAGCATGACAGCATTGTACTTATAGAAAGAAGCTATCTAGAGAAGACCACCTGTTGTATTGTTCCTTTTATAGAAATGGCCTGAATAGGCAAATCCACCGAGACTGCAAAGTTGATTAGTGGTTTCCAAGGCTGGGGGTGGGGGAGGGGAGAATGAGGCATAATCACTACACTGGAGGGGAGATTAAAACTTTCTGGACTTAGACCCCAGTGACGGCGCACAACTTCGTCAATATACTTCAAACCACTTAATTCCACACTTTGAAAGGCAGAATTTTATGGTACGTGATTTATAATCTCCATTTTTTAAAATGGGAGGAAAATGACACGGATGGAGAGGAGTTGGCGGAACTGAAACAACGGAATGGTGCGCAAGTGTCGCTTGTTCCCTGCGCACCCTACCAAATGACCTTTGGGCCCTGGCCGGGTGCAGCCGGCGAGGCTGGGAAGAAAGGGACGCTGGAGGCAGGACCCAGGAAAAAGACGGCTCGGGATTCCAAGGGACGCGGTCACGCGGGCGGCGGGGTCACCTAGGTCGCCTACGACGGAGGAGGAGTCCCTGGGCGCAGAAGTTGGCTGGGCCCCACCGAGATTTAAAGGTTGCAGCGCCGAGGCTGGCAAAGAGGACGGAGCGCCTTCGCGCCCGGCACCCACCTTAACGCCCGTTCCCGGCGCTGAGATCGGATCCCAGTAAGCGCGCGGGCCGGAGGAGCGCAGAGGCGGGCACGGGGCGCGCGCGGCCCGAGGTCGGGGTGCAGGCTGTCGCGTGCCGGCCGGCCCCCACCCCCGCGGCCCTGGCGCTCTATTTTTAGCGAGGCTGTGGCGGCGCGAGCAACGCGCGGGCGCTTTAAGGCGGCGTGGGGCGGGGAGCGCGGC